TGTTTCCTTGCAGTGACTGGGCTCTGGCGGATGGAATGTGAACGAAGCGGGGCGTGTCCTCCACGGCCCGTCCTTCAAACTCCCTCCCGAGCTTCCGTCTCTTCCCCATCTGCTGCGAGAGGAGAGGATCTGAGATCCAGTGGTGGGTTATGGTTTGGGTCAGAGCTGTCCCCAAAGACGCTGTGCTAAATGTTTGGCTGTCGGCTGGTGGAGGCTGTGGAGGCGACGGGCCGTGAAGGCGCTGACCTCATCCGTGATTCGCCCACTGACGACGTTCCTGGGAGGTGGTGGGAAGGAGGTCGGTCGGTGAGCAGTCGTGGAGTCTTTGCAGGGGCGATCTCCGGCTGGCCTCCTCCTCACTCTGCTTCCTGGCCACCATGAGCAGCTCTGCTCCACGACGCCATCTTCACCACCATCTAAAAGCAGTGAAGGCAGTGAAGCTACCAACACTGGACTGAAACCGCAGAAGCCATTAGAATAAATCCTTCCTCAGCTTGAGGAGTTTCTCCGTGGTAATCCGTCACAGTAATCAAAGCTGGTGGCCAGAGGCTTGTGCCTTGAGACGTCCTGGAGTGTTCTGCCAGGGTGAGTTAAATTTTTATTATGCAAAGCTACTGGAATCCTGGGGTTGTGACTTGGTTGGCCTGCGTTAATTTATCCATCAACCAAAACCATCTTATGTTACATGGCTGTTTACTACAATTTCGGTCTTCAAAATTTCAACTTTGTTGCCTTTCTAGAAAAACCTAAATTCAGGACAGTGTCTTTGTTCTCAGCTTTATACCACCTTCTTCTAGATGAGGCGGCCAAGGCCAGAAGGACCATTGCTATCCCGTGGTCTCCAACCTTGCACAAGACCTCCGCCAGCCCAGACACACAACAGCCCCAGAAAACATCTGCTGCTATTGAAAATCTCCTACTCAGATGTCATTCTGCTCCTCTCCACGTTGACTTACCTCTCTTATCTCTTCTCGCTTTCTTTAACCACTCCTCATCCTATCCCTTTCCATCAGACTTTAAGTTTTAAATTTTCATCCATGTTCTTACCCTTTGGAAGAAATCTCATAGACTTGGAAACCACTATATATATTGAAAATTGTAAAATCATATCTCCAGTCTATATGAGTCCTGAACTTCACATCCTACTGACGCCTTCAACAGGCACAGACAGATCAGCATTTCCTTCTCCCTCTCCCTCTATTCTCTCCTTCTCATATGACCTTTGTCAGTAGATCTCTTAGCAATAAACCTAGGAAAACAGCTCAGTCCCCAATGACTCAAAAACCTTCCAACTTCATAAAACTATTTTGAAGCTTTCCCTTTTCCTACAGACCTCCTGCTTCCAATATTTGTATTTTTCTCACCTGAACTACTTCAGAAACATAAACTTCCATATCCATATGGCTGATATACTAATCCAACATAAAAATCAGTTAGTATCCCTTCTCTATTGAAAAATCCACTAGCTCTCTAATACCGTTGAAGAAATCATTCTTTCTCTTTTAAGCTCCACTTCTCATTGAATATTTTTACTCTGCTTTTCCATAATGACTCACCCGCAACAAAGCTCCTCTTCCAGATTTGGATCCAAATTGGCCCTGTTCATTCCTCAGAATGTGGATCTCAGTTAGACTTTTTCATCATACCCCTATCTCCAGGAAGAGCACCTTGCCTACATCAGAAGTCTGGATGGCGCTGCACATAACCCCATTCCTCTCCTCGATGTGTAGTTCATTAGAGATCTTTTGGATGCCTCCTTCTAAAACCCGTAAAACATGCAAGCCCAGACCGTCATACTTGCTCATCCACAGTGTCTCCAGACGAGTCTTTTCTCCATTTGCTGTCCTGTTCAAAACCTTTCCATACTTTACAAGCAGAATGATCCTGGCAAATGCTTCAGGTGAATATGCCTTCAACCACCCTCCACTGCTTTCAGCAGCACAAAACAGCTTTACTGGTGTATCAAAGAGGAAGGCAGAAATAAACGAGACATTCCAGATAATAAAATATGAAAGCTCACGATATTGAAGCGGGAGCATAATGTGAGCTGACTATTAAAGACAGCCTCTTACAGAAGCGATGTTTCAATGCGGCCTAGAGAAGGGTCGGAGCTAGCACTTGATAAATGAAGTAGACTGCAGGCTGCTGACCTACCCCAGGGCAGAGCTCATGTCTGATTCATCATACTGCACGGAACACCCATCGCAGGGGGATTTTTTTTTTGGCTCATTAAGATTTGTGAAGACATGTTTGATTAGTAGAAGGGATGAATGCAACTTAAATTTAGATTTTTGAGTAGCCTAAGTTAAGGTGAAGTATGTACTCGTGACTTTGTGTGCCTTTGTTGACATCAGCTGGTGGGAACGATCAGATTTCCAAGGCAGGAAAGCATGAATGGGACGCGCACTTCAAACTTCATCTGTGCCAGGTGAGGGGCGGGTGAGGGGATGAGGACAGGCCCAGGGGGCGCTGTGAGGAGGGCACCCATCAGGACACATTATGCTCACACACTGACGCCCTGAACGGAAACCCCCGTGTACAACTAGCTGAGGATAAAGAACGATGAATTTAAAAGAAAAACCACATTCCTTGGGTCCTTGTGGAGAATTTCAGGATGATGTTTCACAGCAGTATTGAGCAGCAGGGAGCCCGAGAGTTTGCGGTGGCTGGACCCCGGGACCATGGGCCAGCAGCTGCAAGGAGGGCTTCAGCGACCCCGGCTTTTGATAGGCTAAAGTGTTTGCATACAAAGCCAGATCCACATCCCCTACTCAGATTCATACATGAAACAATTAAAACAATTCCACATTTTATGGCACATTTCTGCGAAGCAGAAAAGCTATAAACGAACCTCCTAAAATATGAATGATGTAAAATGACTGCATTTGATTCCAGGAGAGAAGGTGCTCAGATTAAGAATCATCTAGTACAAATGGAAAGTTTAACCTTTTCAATATAGTAGAAAAACCTTATCTGAGAGGATTTTTATCTTTCATTTCTATCACTGCAGAAAGCAGGACATGATTGCTTTTAGGGTGCTCGCTCTGACTCCTCAGCAGCGATGTGCGACACAGTGAATCGTTGCATTTTCCAAATGATCCTCACCCTCAAGCATGTGTGACCCCAAGAACTTTCTTTTAAGCCTATTATCCTGGGTTATAAAATATTCATAGCGTGTGGAATTTTATACACTCAGCAAATGTAAGAGACACAGAAATACTATTATTATTTTCAAGCAACTGTAAATTATAGAACTGAGAGCTACCCCAGATCGCCCTCCAGAGGTAGCAAAGTACACGCTGTTGTCATTGCACTATTCATTTTCTTTTTCTTTCTTTGTCGGCCGTGGGGCCTGAACTCTGGGCCTGGCCGCTGTCCCTCAGCTCTTCAGCTCAAGCCGAGCACGCTACCACTGGAGCCACAGCACCACTTCCAGTTTTCTGGTGCTTCATTGGAAATAAGAGTCTCATGGACTTCACTGCCGGGGCTGGCTTTGAACTATGATCCTCAGATCTCAGCCTTCTGAGTAGCTAGGATGACAAGTGTGAGCCACTGGCGCCCCACTGCTCATTTTCTTCTACATGTGTACTTCAGTGGTGCAGGGATTCTCCCATCTGTAAGGATAGGTAGATCCTCTACACCACAGCCAGCCATCGCAAACGGAAGAATTTCCTAGAACTTCTGCTTTTGTTAATATTTCACTATTCTCATGTTACTATTTCTAATTTGTTCATCTTAATAATTCCCCCCTGAGAGTTTCGAGAGTAGCCACCACCTTCTGGGAGCAAGCTTCTCCCCTTAATAGAGGATTATCTTATACTTGGCTATAGGCTTCATTACATATATTACTTCTGGTTGTCACAATCACCCTTCTAAGATGCTTTCTATTCTTCCCATCATCCAATTAGAAAAACCCTGGCTCAATCTGCCCGAAGCCATGTGGCTCTTAACTGACAGCATGAGGCAGACACTGGTGGCTGAGGAGCAGGAAGCTCTCGAGAGGTTGAGATCTAGGGGACAGCAGCTGGAGATCAGCTCGTGCAAAAAGAGTTTGTTAGATTCTTATCTCCAAAATCACAAGCAAAAAGCGGGCCTGGGCATGTGGCTCAAGTGGTAGAGCACCAGCCTAGCAAGCCTGAGCCTCTGCATTCAAACTAACTAAAAAAATTATATATGTGTGTATATATGTACACTTACACACCCACATACACACACATGAGCAGAACAGAACACAAACTGAACTCGGTCCAAGCCTTCTGCCTTCCAAAGCCCGTGGGCTAAATAACTGGCACATATGCCAGTTTGACTCTCCACTTGATGTTCTGGATAGGTAAGCCTCTTTTACTCATGGCAGAAATGGGGGCATAATGATTTTTAAATGCCTATGCTAGTCATTTGCATGGTTTTACATTTCTATAAAACGAAAATATCATATTCAGTTCTGAAAGATTTGATTCTTAAGGTATCAAACAATGCAAATTTGCCTTTTGTTTTATTACATTTTAAATACCAACAATTGGAACTGAGAAATCTTCTCACCAATTACAGCAAAATCAGATGTTCAATATTCACCCACCTTTTAGGAGCCATCGTCTACGGTTTTTGAAAAACATCATACAGAGGAAGAGAAAGCCATACACCTCAGAACAACAAGGCTTTATATGACAGACAGGGAGAACATTAATGATTTTAATTATTTTAAGGCTCGTTAGAATTAGAGAGAGAGCAAAGCCCCCACTGTGTTAAGGATTTGTTTGTTACAACATCTTAAAGTTCACTAGTTCATACCTTTCGGTCACAGCAAGTTATTAGCAGTGAAGGGAAGAAGAAGCCTCTGGAGGGGCTTCTTATTACAGTAAGAAGGTGTTATGAACAGGACAACATCTGAGTTTAAATAATTAGTAGCAAGCGCTAGTTGAGTTAATCAGTTAAAGACAAACTGTACCCTTAGGAAGCTGAATGGAAAAGCAACAGTAAAGCTTACAGAACTTAGCTCGTACAATTTGCCTTGAAGGCGGAAGATTGGTTCCCTGAAATAGTAAAGAATTATATGTCTTAGTCCAGAAAAAGTTTTAAAAATAAAGTCTATTATTACCTCTTCTCCTTTCAAAACAATGGAAAAAATCTAGAGCAGAGGATTCAATTTGTTCAGTAATTGTACCTCTGAATTTAAAAAAACCTAAAAACATCATTGTTTTGACTTGAAAAGAAATAACAATGTAAATATTCATTATCACATAAAACATAAAAGAAACAGCAAACTGTTGGAGTTAATACAATCTCTGCAGAGCGCTATTAGTCAGAGACAGCTGGCCAGCCCCAAACACAAAAACTCAAACGATCACATCGTCACAGGAAGTAGCATCTTTCTTTTTACCCAATAGGAATTTAGGTGGCAGAGACTCAGTCCAACTGCCTTCTTTCTGAGCTGTCCTTCACTGTTACCACGCCGGGCAAATGTGTGAACTAGTCAGCAGCAGCACAAGAAAGCTCATGCAAGTACTCACCCAGTTTTCACTTTGAACTGACTGACAAATTCAAGGTTAGAATCAGTCAAGAGATAATCAAGCGGGCACAGGACACAAAGAGTCACATTTGTGATGCGCAGCGAGAAGCAGAAAAGTTATTTAAAATAAACCAAGATGGTTAATTGCAAAAAAATAAAAATAAAGGCAAAAAACGCAATTCACTTCAAAGACATAAAAGCAAAAATGAAACAAGACAAAAAGCTGCATCTCAAGCAACATTTGCACATGATTAATTTGCATTAAAAAACAGTCAATCAAGCAATTTTAGGTCAGATTCATTGGGGCATGCACACACTGATTGTCTCACACAATTCCTACCTGATTTCCAATTGTGGTTTTCTTGTGAACCTGACTGCTCCTCTGCTGAGCACTGAGAAAAGCAAAGGAGAGGAGCACTGAGAGACTCGGGGTGTTGTCTGCACAGCTAACAGGTAACTAAAACACACACGGGCTTCACGGGAGGTCAGTAACTGAGCAACGCTAAGATTAAAACCCAGGCCAGTTTAACTCAGGAAGAAGTCCAAGCTAGTGGGACTACCAGCTGTATGTCAGGAAAGGCTCATCGCTGCATTGAGTGTGAGCGGTGTACCTGCGTGTGCACAGCAGTTGTAATGAAAATCCAGTTCGTGCTTATTAAGTACATGCCACGCAGAGTGTTTAGTGATTTTAATTCTCACAACGACCTTGTTAGGCAGTTACTGTGATCCCTTTGGTTTCACAAATAAGGAGAGTGAATTACAGAGAAGAGACTTTCCAGCAGTCACTCAGCTAGCAAGTGGTACTAACAAGTGGAGTCCATCTGCCCAGCGTGGGGTGTTATCTAGTCTCTTGCCTGGACCCCCACCGTTCTCCGGCTGTGTCCTTGCCCACTGTCCCAGTTCTAGGCTTACACATGCTTTTGACAACTCCACATCTCCGCTCCGGTGTCTCATAGGCCTCTCCATACTGTGCCAAAACAGACGTTGATGCCCTCCCCAACCCTGGCTCTGCTCTTCGCTGGCAGTCCCCTGCTATATCTCCACGTGGTTAGGTCAAAGCCCTTGACTGCTTTCTCTCACATCTCACATCCAAGCACTGGCCAGCACAGTCAGAGTTCAGGGATCGAGATTTCCACTGGCTTTTTACCTCTTCGATTGATGCCACCTTAGATGTAGACGCCCTCACCGGTGGCCGGGATTCCCGCCACCCCGCCCCACTGCGCCCGGGAGCTGCCTCACGAGGAGCAGGTTACTCTTCTGCTCAAACTCCTATTCTGCCATCTCCACTGTTTCACTCAAAGGCAAAGCCCTCACAATGTCCTCGAGGTCCCGTCAACTAATTCTTACCCCCTGCCCTTTGACTGCTCTCCTCCTGCTCTCCAGTCACTCTGGCCTCTGCTTTCCTTTGAATCCCACCGCAGAGCCTTGGGGCTCGCTTGCTGCCTCTCAGGCGCCCCTCCCCGCTCCCGGCACCCCTTCAAGTCTTGTCCAAAAGTTCCAGAAAAGCTGGCCTGGATAGCTCTGGAATCCCCCCCCCCTTCGGGGCTCTCGTCTGCCTGACCCTGTGTTACTTTGTTGTGCTTGTTTGTCTGTTCTGCTCTATCTTATTGCAAGCTCCTGATGAGCAGAGGTGTGTGTCTCTTTTGCTCTGGCTACAAAGGACCTAGAACACAGTTGGTCTCAACGAGGCTCTAGTGAAAGCAAAGTCCAGTGAAGCCACACTGCCATGCTCCCCGCTTTACAGTGAGAGCCTACATGGGCAGGTCTTGGGTTATTTCGTCTCTCTTAAAGGGTAAAGGCTTTATTCTGGTAGAACCATGTATTCACCTAAAAGATATAAGAAAACCCAATATATTTTTGTTATGCTAGGCAGATTAGCACTATAATTAAAATTATTTAAATGGTTTATAGTCACTGTTTCATAGGACAGTGGAGTTGCCGTAAATACAGAACCGCTAAGTGCAAGGTCTCAGCCAACCGTTATGGGATGTTATGACTCAAGCCAGATAGAAGCCAAAATAGCCACCTTTTATAATCTCCCCTGATGCAGTTAAGCTGAAGCCTTTGCTCAAACTCATTAAAAACCATGGCATGAAAGGTCACACTATACTTGATTGTGTGTGTGTTTCCATTTTTAATTCAGAGGTTTTAGATACTTCCTTTTCTTTTGTTGGTTTTCTACTTTTTAAATGCTTACTTCCCTTCATCACTATGACGGCCTCTCTTTCCAGCCATTCCTCTCAAGAATCTAAATCTACAGTTTGCGAGGTTTGTAGGTGAAGGTATGAAAGAGGTGACATTTCTGCGGCCAGGAGACACTGTGACCTCTGGCTTCCCACAATGCCCTGCACACTGGTGCGTGAATGGCTGCTCTCCACCAGCACCTTCCCAGAGCCCCCCGATTTCCTGTGATCTAGGAATGAATGGAGAAACCCTGACTGTGGTGGGTAACCATCTTTGTACCATAATGTGTCCTCAGGGTCCTTAAGGGGGAAGGTTTCTAAAAAAGCTCTGAAAGTGGTTATGACCTCAAAACTGTAACAGATCTAGAGGTGTTTGGTTTTTTGTAAATTATTGAGGACCCTAAGCTTACGTTAGGTTCCCCTTAAAATCACAAAGACACAGAAGCTTACCCAGAGTTCTGCCTCCACTGGACCACAGTTTCTCGGATGTAAGAAGGAGAGAGGGGGAGGAGCAGAAAGTAGAGAGACAGAAGGGATGGAAGGAAGGGTGGAGAAGGGGAAAGGGAGACAGCAGGGGGGGGAGGAAAGGAAGAGAGGGAGGGAGAGCAGAGAAGGAGGGAGAGCAGGGAAGGAGAGCAGGGGGGAGGGAGAGCAGGGAGGGAGGGAGAGCAGGGAGGGGGGGAGAGCAGGGAGGGAGAGAGAGCAGGGAGGGAGGGAAAGCAGGGAGAGAGAGCAGGGAGGGAGGGAGAGCAGGGAGGGAGGGAGAGAAGGAAGAGGAAGAGAGAAACCAAGAGTCTGAGACCAAGTGGGGATGTGAACTGTTTCTTTTTTTCAGAGCTGGGGATGGAATCTATGACCTCATCCATGGTAGGCGCCCTTGGCCTACAACCCCACCCTTTGGTGTTTTATACACAGTCTCCTTATTAGCAACACTAACGAGAATTTCCACTCACAAAATTTCCATATAAAATAATGCATATTTAGAACCTTTTACTTATGAGACTAGGCATTAACAATAGATTTATTTTATGAACCCATCCCCAAAACAGAGTTAGAACAAAAAATTAAAAGACCGTTACTTTGTATCTAGAGAATATCTCTTGTGGCAACCAGACCCAATGAGTTCAAGAATATTGTTATTCATTATATATTTAGATACTTTAACTTGCTCCATCAATAATGAAAATAAGATGTCTAGTTAGAAAACATCCTTTATCATAATTCTTCAGGTTCAAAGCAGTTAAGAATGCAGTGGTTAACAGAAACAAATAAAAGTATGTAAGTCCATCTGAGCTCATCAATGTATTCTTGGATATAGATATTTAAATGGTTATCTCTGCAATATTATAAAATGTACACTGTGTACATCTGACTTGTTAAAATTTTAGTGCACAAACTTGGAAAAAGACATAAATGTGAACGTGGTATAGTCCTTGAAATCTGAAACTTACAATGTATCTACATAAAAGAATGGAGATATAACATAAATGACAAAGGATAAATGATGGTTAAATCACCATGAGGATATAATCAAAAGGTGCTTCTGTTTCAAATATGGAACGTAATTACCCCTAACTTCTTATTTTGTGTATTTGCTATTGATCTTTTTAGGTTTATGCAACACACAAGCCTGGGAAAGACTCTGCCAGAATACTAAAACATAAAACTAAATTAGGTTTATGACTGAGACATGATGACTCTAAAAGTTGATAAGAAGAATACAAAGTTTTGGAAGAAGGAGGAGGAAGAAGAGGAAGAGGATGGGGGAGAGTAGAAGGATAAGAATAAGAGACAAAAGGAGTAGGAAGAAAATATTCAAAGAGAAAGAAGCCATGATGTTACCTGTGCTCTGCTTATTCTCTTCTTAGTGTATATGCATGCACGCGTGTGCATACACACACACACACACACAGAGATTGTGCTGAGGAAGTGTAAGCCTACTTATCAAGTAAGTCTTATAAAGAGTAATTGTTCTGAATTCTCCGAGAGGAGTATCCTTTCAGCCTAATGTGATTTGAGGTGTTTGTAGAAACTTATGAGATAAATTTTAATTTAAAAAAAAAACAACCAATTGCTGATAATTAGCAAAACCAGGGAAACAGGGATGAGTTGTGAAATTATGGCAGAATTATATAACCACAGACTCGTGTTTATAAATGATCTGACACACCATTTAATATGGCAGTTGTGTGCTGGGATCCATTTTGGAGAATGTAGCACCCTAAGCAGCACAGAGAGCGTCTGGCGTTTCTTTGCTGGCAAACACCATGATGAGACAATGCTTTATAAACCCCCCTCCGCAGCGCAGCAGGCAGCCCAGAGCAGAGTCTCCCCCAGCCGCAGCCGCGCTGCTCAGCTTCAGAGTCCCATCGCCCGCCATTGCTGCAGTGCGCCGTGTATCTCTCCTTCCCCTGTACCTCCATTACCTCTCGCCTCGCGTCCACACTTCATAAACTGCCTGTGCTGTAGTCAGTGTCTCCCTGCAGTCACGTCTGCCCCACCAGGGCCAAGGATACACAATGCATCCCGGTATGGCTACCGCTCTCACCAGTGACCTTGCTGAGTCTTAGGGTTACGGGAAGTTCATAGGAAGTAGTCATTACGTTTTGATGCAAGAATTATCTATCGTGAGACTATAAAGTCTGCTAAGGAAAGTTAAATACTATTAAGATGTGAATCATGATCATGTGCTCAGGTGGGTACCTGAATATATAAATATATAATCCAAATGTAATTACATAAGTAGAAGGACTGAACTGGCTGGAGCAAAGTAGAGAAGAATAATGAAATAGAGCAGGCTGAAGAGGTCAGGAGGCAGATTACACAAGACCTTGGAAACCATGTAATGAGTTTAGACGTCATATTAAAAGTAACAGAGAAGCCCAGAGGAAAAGAGAGAGCAGCAAAACAAGCTATGGAGACAAAACCAACTGGCGTCAATAAAGAGCAGAGCCATTTCGACAGGAGCACGGAGTTAAATCACATTTCTCTTTTGAGCAACTGGTCGTTGGTATTCACAGGGAGTGGAACAAAGAAAGAGGTAATACACACACACACACACACACACACACACACACACACACGCACAATAAGTTTAATTTGGGAATGCGAGGTTGAGGCTTTTGTAGGACACACACGCTGAGACGTCCTATAGGAAGCCCAACATGGTGCAAGAACCAGGAAAAATGTTTCAGAGTAGCAATCTAGAC